GGAGTGTAGACAGTGACCACATCTTCCATCCATTTCTTGCCTGGATGGAGGACTATTTCAGTGAGTGGTTCCCCCCAGTCGAAACTTTCTTTCCTACTTGAAGCGTTGAATTTCTTGGTCATGAGCTTGATTCCAAATGTAAGAGAAGGGGGCGTGAAGGACAGCTTCTGATCTTGGAAGAGACGGCTATGCCTTCCAGCTAGCATGTACATGAGTATATCCATGTGCTGCATGGTATTTGAGATTAGTTAGAGAAACCAGAAGCCAAAATATAAGGAAAACTATTTTGGGTGTGGTGAAGGAAGTGTACGTAAGCTGATGTCCAGTGCTTAGGCTGTGCTAGTTGGAGGAGGAAGTTGTTAGTAAACTCATAATGTGAAGGTGTTACGGGAAACCTGTGGGGGAAATGTGCGTAAGTAAGCTTACCTATCATCAAAGTAAGCAAATAGTTTTTTAGAAGACTTACACATACTTGTTCTTCACCATAATTCTTTCAAAAATATCCCATTGAATTTGAGGTAGTAGGGGTGATAAAGTCAACCGCTGGGATAGTGTTGGCGTGGGAGACTTCATATGCAAGTTGGTTTTCCTCACGTGATGGAACATGTCTTGGCTGAGGTCTCTCGGGGGAGCCATCGCTCAGTTCCACAAAGTCACAGTCTTCATTTTCTTGAGCCTATTAAAAAAACCAAAAGTTTGAAATAGAAGATGAAATCAACATCATTCTTGGTTATAAGATGCATATGGGTCATAACTACACTACCTGGATGTTGGGGACTAAATAGTTTGCACTGGATAAAGGATTGGATGTAGCGGTGGCTGAGAAAGGGTTGATTGTTCTCGCATGATATGAAACCAGACAGACTACCTGAGCTTTTATTGGGAGACGTCTCGGGGGTGAAAGGGAGTTCACATTGTGAGGCTTAGTTTGTTGAAGAGTCGTATTTCGGTTGACCAATAGAAGAGGGATCAAGGCTGATGGGGTCAAATATTTCTACACCATGGTATAGAAGGTGGTGGAGTGGGGAGGGGGCTGTTAGGGTGAGCACTAGAATCGTATATCACCGAACGTGTGTGCATGTAAAGGGGAGTAGTTGCATTTGGGTTGATGGGTGTGTCTAAAGGTGTGTGGTGGACAAGTGAAACGTGGTGGCTTGGGTTGTGGACAAGTGAAACGTGGGGACTTGGGTTGTGGATAGGTGAAACGTGGTGGCTTGGATTGTGGATATGTGAAATGTTGTGGATGGGAGAGGGAATGTGTACGGGTGATGTGTGGATAGGTGAGATGACCACAAATGAGGTGTCCACAGGTGAATCGTTAGAGTGTTGGTTGTGGACGGGATGTTGAGGACCGTTTTCTGAGATTAAATGGGATATCTCATTGGTAGATGAAGTTGTGGAAGTTGATCCGTAGCAATGTACACCATATTGGCTGATAACAGGAGACTTGATTAACTGGTCATCTTCCTCCATAGGAACTGAGAACTAGGAGAAGTAAAGGGGAACAATGAGATAGAGAAATGAAAGAATAGTTTTCCCTTTTTAATATTTAAAGGATCTGAAGATTATGCGAACTGAAAACGTACCGTCTTGTTAGAAAAATCAGGAGATGTTTGATCTAGAAGATAAGTTTGACACCCCTTGTCTAAAGTTTTCTCTTGGGCTTCAGTTTGGCATCCTCTATGGGATTGTTGTCATTTCTTTGTACGACCAATGCGAGTGTGGAAGAAAGAGCGTTTGATGGTAGTATGAGCCTTCCTGCGCTTTAGCAATAACCGCACCTTCTTTGACTCTTTCTGAAGGCTTGAGACTATTCCTAATACTTCACACAGTATTTACATGACTTTGCATCTGTGGCTGAACCAGCTCGAGGAAAATAGTTGCTAATTCATCTCTACTTACGAGAAGTGGAAACCTTCCTTGAAGACTTTCTTGGTTGAGTCACTTTGCATGAAGTTGGTTTGGGCTTGAGAGACTTTTTCTGAAGGACAGGTTGAACAACAAGGGGTGAGGGAGAGAAGGGGGTGGGGGCTGAGATGTGCTCCACTATACCAAAGATGCTTCTGAAAAGACTGATTATCAGCTATAAGATGCTCCATGTATAACACCCATTTATCGTTACAAAGATCTGCCAAACTCCCCATCCAGGTTGTGGTTACTCTCTATTGGTATCAACGATGTAACAGCAAGCTGCAAAATAGACAATCAGATAGAAAAACACAAAAATTTACCACACTGGTTAATGACGCAATGAATGGCAAATTCAAAACAAACAAAAAAGGGATAGGATAGGTTTGGAATTTACATCTTGATCAGCTTCGATGCGTAGTATATCATTTCGGGTAGGTGCTGGGAAAACAAGAAGATGATCAACGTCAAGTTCCATGATTGAAAGCGAGTCAACATGAATTGGAATCGTTGACTGCAGTTTCGGAATAGCTTGATACGCAAGTAGTTGTAGTGCAAGGGGGAATCCCTTTAGCCTGAAAGTATCATGCTTTAGCATCTCAACCAGTGCTGCGATCGGGTCTTCACATTTATGAGGGACATACTTCAGAGGCTTCATGCAAGTAATACTTTTCAGAAAAAACTCTCTTCCCCAAGGGTGTGAGCAGAAAGCATCCACATCTTGTACCATTTTGACATACTTCAGAGTTGGCCATGACTTTTGTTGATGTGCAAAGAAGACAACATCAACAATAATTATTAAAGCAAGGCGAAGTTTCTTCCACCCTGACATGTTTTAATCAGTATCAAGCTTGGTCCGTAACTCAGAAATTGTGATGAATTTCTTCTTGCCTATCAGCTTGATCCAGTCTGGGTCTTGGTGTGCTATACTCTGGTCTTCCCAATCTGTGTTGTAACCTACAGGGAAGGCTCCACACGGAAATCCTGTGATGGTGCCAAACTCTTGACGGCTGAACCTGATAGGATCGCTTCCGAAAACAGACCAGAGTGTGTGTTTATCATCACAAACTAGTTGTCTTGACAGTAAGGAGTGTATTAACTAGCACATAACTGGACACTGAATAGCTGGGAGGTCAAACAACTTTCCAAAGCAAGAGTTTTTGATATACTGGAACTCGTCGGTGTCATGTAGCACATAACTGATGGAAGCTAGAAGGTCAGGCTTGGAGTTTAACGCGTCCCTTTGGAAACATGGCGGTGGCGAAGAGTCTCGGTGGGAGTCGGTGGTTAGGACGATTGTTTCCTAGAAAAACAGGAAAACAGCAAAATAGGAAAGTCAAAATACAAAAATTGAAATCGATACTATAAATAGCGGCAATCGAAAAGCCATAATCCAAAGGCACCCAGAAAAATTAAAAATTAAACAGAGAGTAACCAACGAAACGGCTAAAAAACAGACCCAAATTAAGTATACACAATCAAACCTTGCATGTCTCCAAAGACTCCGTCGAAATCGAAGCTTTAAAGAGACAGATTCGGAAATGAAAGCTATGAAACTATAAAGAGACAGATTCGGAAATGAAATCTATGAACAAACACAATCAACTTCTTCGCCATACAAACATACAGTTTCAAAACTAGGGTTTGGATCCCAAACCATAGCGAAACGATAGTAAAATCCCCAGAACAACAAAGATTAGAAAGAAAGTAACTAAAGAAACCGCAAAAAAAAAAAAAAAAACAGATCCACACTCAAACCTTGCATGTCTCCTACTCGAAGAAGGGTTAGTTTCGAGACTGGTGAATCTACGGTGATGAAGAATGGCGAACGGAATGAAATGGGTTCTCAACAATTGCCGTTTGGGAGAGGCTGCGTGTTACGTAACCAATATTAGGGTTGTGAGTTTGGAACGCACCTAACAGGTTTGGTACAAATGCTAAACCGAAAGGTTCCGACCTGTTTGGTTTTTGAGTGATTTCTAATTTTCTATTGCATAAGGGCATATAATACAATGACTAGAGAGGAAGTATGTGAAATGTTGAAAGTTTCTTGAGATGTAATTCAAAAGGCACAAAGTGTCCCAGTAAGTAAAAAATTCTAGAAAGAAAGGGTAAAGATAGATAAAAGTTTGATTTTGGCTCTTTAATTTTGAATCAATCAATGGCTCAAACGAAAAAATAGAAAATTGTCTTTTTGTGCTTATAATTTTATAAAATTATTGAAAGCTTGAAATTTATATTATGTATATATGATATTAAATGTATGAAAATAGTATTTGGGGTTAAGATGAAAAGTGTTAAAATTTAGATTTACGGTTAAGATAAATTGTTTAAAATGTTGAATGGTTCAATATCTAGAATATTAATTAAATTTTTTATTTCATTAAGAATTTAAGTTATACATTTACATTTAAAAAAAATAATGATATCAGATAAATAAAATTATTTGTTTTCACTTTGTAAAGCAATTTTAAATAAAGTAAGAGTAATGATGTAAGATTAATAAAATTAAGTGGGTTTAGGGTTTCGAAAATAGTGTTTTGGGTTTAGATTTAGAATTATGTAGATGGTTTGAGTTTTAGAATAGACTTGGAGTTTAAGTTAAAATTTATATTATAAGTTTGAAAATATTAGATTTATGACTTAGTATGTAGGGTTTAAGTTTGGGGTCTAGGGTATTAGATTAGGGCGTAGATTTAAAATTTAGTGTTTGAGGTTTAAAATAGAAATTTAAGATTAAGTTTTTAAAATTATTAACTTTTGAGTTTAAGTTTAATACTGAAGTTTTAAAATTTTATGTTTAGGGGTTTAAACCCTATAATTATATAGATATATATATCACTCTTTTAGGACTTGAGATTTATAATGAAATTCAAGGATAAACTTTTAACAGATTAGACTTTTAGTCTTAACGGTTTGGAGTTTATACTCTAATAAAACACAAATACATAATAAAATACCATATGTTTTCATTGAGAATCCAAAACATACAAGGATTTGAAATGACTAGCATGACAATATTTCTAAGTACATTTTTTTATGGCTAACTCTACATTCAACTTCTCAAGAGCTGCATATGTTAACATCCAATCTCAAACTCTAATATCTGCTCCCATGACATCTTCTCCAACCACGCTTCTCATCTTCTTCAACATCAAAACTCAGATCAGCTCCTACGGACCACCATTCTCAATAATGAGCTTCACCATTTAAATTTTCATGAGCTCCTCTGCCTCGTGTTCTGCTTCTAACTCCGTATTAGACCTGAATCAATGCCGCTGCATCTACGACTACTCATCGCTGAAGTTACATGATAAGTGGTATCTTGATCATGATATTCATCTATATATAACTTTAGTTCCCTGAAAAGGGGAATAACCAAGTAGAACATTCAAAGGCAGATGAGCTCTCTCACAAACTAACCTCACGGATTAGTGCTGCACCAGCATTCTCCATGGTGTCAGGTAACTCAATAGCCCTAGCAATGGTGATTCCATCGTTCACAACCCTGGGACTTCCAAACTCATCCAACACAACATTCCTCCCTTCAAAACATCACATCTCATCATGATAAGAATATATATAGTTTTGTGGTACAACAAACACATTGAATAGACCAGTAATAATATACCTCTAGGGCCAAGAGTGAGACCAACAGCATCAGCAAACTTGTCGATACCAGCTTGAAGAGCAGCTCTGGAGCTCTGGTCGAAAGCAATGTCCTTTACATTAGCTCAAACACTGAAACGTCTGCTTGCTTTCATGTAGCTTACTCTTTGACCTTTCTGTTGACTTCCACCACTCAGCTTTCCCTGCACACCCACAAGACATGAATATACTCGTTAAGCCCAGATTCTTGTGCTAATGCTAAGCTGTGTTACACAAGCATCCAGATTTTCCCGCTACATGATAGGACAACGCTAGCCGAAGTTGAAGATTCTTGTGCAGCGATAACACCATTATAGATACCTTAGTAAGAACAACTATTAAATAGAAAAGACAAAAATATGACATCTTTGTTTTATTAAGAACCAAACTATACTCATTGATTGTACAAACAATTAACAAGACTTTGTTGGTAGCGTCTCTTCAACATAGAGAGAAAGAGACGATGACCACAGAGAGAACCAAAACACTAAGAGAACCATAAATCGAAATCCCAGACACACACATAGATGGAAAGACTCAGGAAAAATCAAATCAGAGATAAGAACAATTTTAATAGAGGACTAATACAGAAAAATCATTTATCCACAATTAAAAACCCTAACACTGAAACCAATTGAAACTCTACTCGATGACTAATAGAGAAAAATAAAAAGCAGAAGAAAAAGAGAGAACGACGATTCGCGAGTTCTTCGGTCAAAGCCATGAGGATTTTCGTCAGAGGAGAGAATGACGATTCGACAGTGAGATAAATTTTTGATTTTTTCCTAAGTATCGAGATGAAAAGTACTTGTGACTTAATGAAAAATTTGGCAAATTAAAGCGGGGGAAAATATTATTTTTTCTGCGATAATAACTATAGCGTTTTAAATTGATAAATGGTATAAAAACACAAGTATTAGTATACAATAACAGAACTGTCAGAAAACGCTATACTCTGATGCTATTAACTGTATCTATTGATTTACTCTTTTGAGATTCTAACAAGCTTATAACATAAATCCAGGAAGACTACGAGAACGTTGTTGGAGGATGGAAGGCAAAGCTGGAGAGAAGTGATTCGGGTGTGCAGAAGTGGGAACTTTTCATAACCAACAAAATTTATAACGTCTTATACTTTTAAATGTGTGTTTGCTTGCAATGATGTTATGTGGACATGTGTGATGTGTTTAATTTCGTTTTTACCATCACCATTTTTGATGTGATATATTAACTGATTTACGTTTGGTTCTATATATGTTTCCCATCACTATCACTGTTATATTTGAAAAATTATAATATATTTAGCTTTCTTTTTCTTTAGATTTTTGTAGCAATGTGTTTGGTGAAACTGGGTTATTCATATTGAAATGTGGCTACAAGGTCTTTAGCATGTGGTCGGTTCAATCTTGTCTTAATTGGGCATTACTTGATGTAGATTGTGATGGATCCATTACTATGTCTAATTCGTCTTGGAATTAGACCACATTTTAAGTATTGTGGGTTTCTAAGCCTAATTATATTAAAATTAATCGAAACTATAAATTCTAAAAATTTAAAATTAATGTTACAGCTAACAAGTACAACACTACTGTCTCATAATGAATACATCAAGAATCTTGCTAACTAAGAACTTGACACCTCACCATAATATTATTTCTTTGATTAATTATTCCATATTTTCTCATCTTCTATTATTTAAACCAAATTTATTGAAAATCCAATTAATAATTTGTTTTCAATTCAAACTATTAATTCAAAATGTTTTCTTGGGACAAGGCTGGTATATCATCTTGGAAATTTTTGAAGCTCTAATGGGAGTCAGATATACGAGAGCTAGCTTATCACCTTTACAATCTGAACTAGAGAATCTTACCTGGACGATGGAGAATATGAAGAATTTAAGACAATTTCTTGTCACATTTGCATCGGATTGCTCTCAATTGGTGAAGATGGTTCCAGAACTAGAGGAGTGGCCGATTTTGCAAACTATCTAGAAGACATCCAGATTTTGAAGAGGAGCTTCAATCACTCAGAGATAATTCATGTCCCCTGAACGCAAAACTTAAGGGCGGATAGTCTAGCACACAAAACTTAAACAAAAAAAATTCCAACAATAAGAATGAATAAATTAATATAATGGTACTTTAATATTTAGTTTAGTAAACTAAATATTTACAAATATATTTTACCAACTAAGTGAAAGTAATATTTCAAATACTCTATAAATTAAAATATATATTTGAAATAAAATAATTTTATTATAAACTCACCCACCAATAGGGAGGACCAATCCCTAGTTATATATATACACTAAATATGTATTTGAGCACTTGACAATAAAAAATGTTATTTTGCATCTTAAAAATAGATTTGTGATCTTTCAGTTTTACTTTCTTTTTTGGAAGATTTTATGATGTTTATGTTTTATATTAGTCTAATATAAACCATGAATGTAAAATACTTATCTCTTTTCAAAGCGATGAAAAAATTATTACATATGACTTTTTTTTAAAAAGAAAAGCATATTTTGCTGAAATACGATTAATATACAACCTTTGATTGTGTAGGTAACTAATGTTAATATTTTAAGTAGTATTACCTTCTTTTCCTACGAAGGTTGTTGTTTCCTTCATTGTGTATCGGTTACAGCTCTTCATTTTCAATGATATACCTTTTTTTCTAAGAATCTACAAATTTGATTACAGTATATAAGAAAAAAATGTATATATGGATCTGTTAAGGTATCAAGATTCGATTGCCTTCTAAGTAAGTTATCTCCGAGTTCATTAGTTACTTGAATATTATGATCTTAACTAGTGGTATAACTTCGATCAATCACACGCAAACAACACAAGCAATTTGTTTACCCAGTCTTTGTTTTTTACTAATCGGAGAGAGAATTAAATTCTCATGCACTTCATTATGGATCAATTTGATACAATAGCAATGATCTCACTCGATCTGTTACTTCTTTGTGGAGGTATTACAAGAAACTATACCGAGAGCTATTCCGAGAAGCATACCCGAAAGAGGACACGCAGAATGATCTGGAAAGAGCTCCCTGACCTCAAGAGCTATGATCACGCCTGGATCTCTCTGTTCTTGATCGAGCTTTCTCCTCCGCCTTGATATCTTCTCTGACTCTCAATCTTGTAATCGTAACTTCTTTTGATCGCTTTCTCTGTTTATATATCAAACGAAGAAGACGATGGTAGTTACGTGTAGGACCCACGCCTAACAGATTTTGTATCTGGACGCTTTCCGTGCTCGTGGTGATTACTCCACCCTTGGGCCATTGCAACTTGATCAGAAACCCATTTGATCATATTGTCTCGCTTTAAACCACTTGGCCCAGAAATGGCCCAAAATCTAAAACACAAATACTCCACAAATCTCCACCTTTGTCGTTTAGGTCATCTCAGCCTCCAACAAAACACTTTTCTTAGTCAAGCCGACCCCTAATCATGTCTGATAACCCACAATCAAGCCACTCCGGCTCTAATAGCTTCGGCGAATCAATGAAAACACCTTTTCCGATCCCTGAAACCCCAATAAGCAGCCCTGAACTCTTGCTTTATGAATCTGACCCGGTGAGATCTCAAACTCTTACCCTTCCAGCTTTCTTCAAAGTCCTCGAATCAATAACATCTTCAACTCCTAAACCTGCCTCACCACTAATTCTGCCATCAACTGGATCCTCTGCTAATCAACCATGAAGATTCACCAACCTTGAGTACTGTAAGTAACTCTAGCTTCTCTGAACAAACCCCCTTTACCAGATAACCCATCTGACTTTTCTGTTTCCATTTTTCAGTCAAAAAACACTTGGATTTGTTCGGAGATGCCCCAGTGACCTCAACGTAAGTTCTTAATAAAGACCTCTTAATTATCGTTAGTTAAACCTTGTTTATTTTAGAGAGAAAAAATCACTAACCCACTTGTCCCCTTGTTTTTCATGTACTCCCTTTTGTGAGACAACCAAACAATAGAGCCATCTCGGAGTACCTCTTGGAATGCTCAGACGACGACCCCCAGCGTTACGAGGCACTTCTCGAACGCGTTTCCAGGTAACGTCTTTGTTAACATATCAGCTGGATTTAGACTCATATGAACCTTTAGAACCTTCACTAGTCCAAATTCAATTATATCTCTGATAAAATTAATCTTCCCTGCAATGGGCTTAGTACGATCATGATGCACTAAATTCTCACCCAGCCAAATAGCACTTTGTGAATCACGGTGTTGCCTCAGATAAAGCCATGTACTCTGCCTCTATTTTTGATAATGCCACAACATGCTGTAGTGATGACCTCCAACTCACCGTATTCTCCCCAACTTTGAATACATACCCTGTGACTGATCTTCGCTTGTCGAGGTCAGTAGAGTAGTCTGAATTACTAAACCCCTTCTATAAAAAAAATCTCTGATTTTGTGAAGGTTAAACATACATCCTTAGCTCCTTGTAGGTACCTTAGTATCCACTTAACAGCTTCCCAGTGTTCTCTACTCGGCTTTGATATAAATCTGCTAACCAACCCGACCGCGAAAGCAAGATCAGGTCTAGATCCAACCATAGCATACATAAGACTTCCAACCGCACTCGCATAAGGAACTGGATTCATCTCCTTAGATTCCACAAGCCATTCCACATCTGTCAAAAATTTTAGTTTAAAGAATTTGTCGGTGTTATTACTGGCTTGCAGAACTCCATTCCAAATGTCTTTAACACCTGACCAATGTATATGTTCTGAGTGATTTTAAGCACTCCCTTCTTTCTATCTCGCACAATATCCATTCCAAAATCCGTAAAGCTGACCCAAGATCCTTCATTTCAAATTCTGATCCCAGACTCTTCTTCAAAGTTTAAATATCCTTCTTGCTTTTAGCTGCAATTAGCTTCAAAATTTTAATATCCTTCTTGATTTTAGCTGCAATTAGCATCTCATCTACATATAGAAGTAGAAAAATGCTTTCTCCATTCTTAGATTTCTTACATATAGACACACAGATCTTTAACACACCTTGTAAACCCAAGTGTCTTGATAAATGCATCGAACCTTAGATTCCACTGCCCAGGAGATTGCTTCAACCCGTAAAGAGACTTTTTGAGAAGACGAACTTTCCCCTCATCCCCTTTCTTGATAAATTTTTCTGGATGTTCCATGTAGATAGTTTCATGTAGATTCCCATGTAGAAAAGCCGCTTTCACATCCATTTGTTCCAGTTTTGCATCAAAGTTGACCACATAGAACATAATTATTCTGATAGAAACATGTTTTACTACGGGTGCAAATATCTCATTATAATAGACACCTTCCACTTGAGTAAGACTTTTAGAAACCAACCGTGACTTGTATCTTGGATCT